GTGTTTCTGACCACGGCGCCGACCACTCGGAAGCAGAGGAGGGAATCAGTATGATGATGAGAATTGGGACGAGGATGAGGAGGGGGATGAAGAGGAGGATTCTACACGAGTTCGCAGAAGGAAGAGGAAAATAATGAGGAGGATGAGAAGGAGGAGTTGGAGGTGGATGAGGAGGAGGTGAAGTGTGTTTTCATCCCAGTGCGTTGTTGGCGCTTAACACCAGGAGCTCCCAAAGCAGCGCATCGTGCAGGCCGCTGGGCCCGCAGCGGCAGGCGGCACACTGAGACAAGCAAACGCGACCCCCCCCAGGGATCCTTCAGAAGGTGCCTGCAACGGCGCCCGAAACTTCAACATCGGCGCACCGCGCGAGCACGGCTGCCCGCACAGGCAGTAAGGCGAAGCCCAGACCAGAGACGAGCTTAGGTGCGCGTTTCGGGGCAGCGGCCACGGCGCGACTATCTGCGCACTCTCGCCGCACTTCGGATGCGGGCCCTTGAGGAGCCTCCTCCGCTCGTGCACCGCCGCCTCGTTCGGCGTAGAGTCAGGCTTGCCCTCTCCAGGGCAGGGGCCAGACGGCTTGCTGCTTGCACACGTGGAGCACCGTTTACGGAAGAGCAACATCTCACCGACAGGCGCCCTGGGCTGAGCCGAGAGCTCGCACTGTTCTACGTCATGGGAGGCCGCATGCGCAGCCACACGCACGAAGCTGGCAGGCCGATCCGACAACCTGCACTCCTGAGAATCAAGGGCGGAGGGAGGTGGGCGCCGTCTTGCACCGTAGACATCTCACGCATTGTCGCTTACGCTGGCCGACCTGCGCGAACTCGTGGGCAACCTTGACAGGAGCCGTCCGAGACGGAGGCGCTCTGCAAATATTCGCCCACTTCTTTATCGGAGCTAGGCCAGCACACCGCACGCGCGCGGCGCTCATTAGGAGAATTCTTGCCCTCGAGAATCGCTCCTCAAGGTCAGCGAAACGAGAGCCTCTGTACCCATGCAGCCGGGCTCCGACCTTGGCCGCCTGGTCGGCCTGAGCATCGAGCCAAGCGGCCCACTCGGTATCAGCAGTGGGCCGCTCACAGACGTGCAGCGACCTCACGAGGCCCGCATAGGCCGCATCCTGCCGCGGGAGGGCCCGCCAGAAGCCCGCGAAGGGTGACGACTTGCCCGCTGGGGCCGTCCCGCCCCTGGCCGACACCCCAAGACGGCGGAGTAGTTCCCGGTGTATTCGCATGGGCCGTCCGAGACTTCAGCGCCCGTGCACAAGGTCTGGTGCTCGGCGCAAACAGCTGACTGAGAGAGGAAGGGAGGAAGCGAGCCAAACATTTTGCGCAGAACGCCGAGCTTCTCGTCCCACTGGGCCACGCCCCACCCACCCCTCCTCAGCGATTCGAGCACGGACACGGTGGCAGATCCGTCACCCGCGACCGCGGCTCCCGAAATAAAGCGGAAGTCTTGGAAGGGCTCTTCGTTCTCGCCCACAAAGGCTCGCATGCAACCGCGAGGAGGCCCAGGGAGTTTCTGCGGGCGCTCGGGCAGGAGCCGAGAGAGCACCACGTCGCCACAGGCCCTGCGAGCAGCCAAGCCCTCCCTCCAGCCCGACCCCTCATCAGCTCGTCCTGCCGCGAACGGAGGGCAGTCGCAAACGAGGTGCTGGACAGTATCAGGCACATCGCAGACAGGGCAGCGCCCAAGCACAAGATAGCCCCAGGCGCGAGCACGCTCACTGGTGAGGTCGGTGCCGCCCAGAAGCGAGACCACCACGTGGCGTTCCAGAGCCGAAAGGTAGGACCCTCTCAGGAGAGCCCGCACAGCCTCCCACCGCACGGCCTCGAAGTCGTCCAGCTGCTCGCGCCGACGTATGGCGTCGTCAGCTCGAGCCTCAGTGCACCGCGTATCATCGGCCAAGGAGACGCGCGACACCTGCTGTGGTGACGTCTCCAGCAAACTGATCGGACCAGCCGTGGGAAATTCAAACGTCGTGGCATTGACCGCCCGCCAGCCGGTCCACTTAAGCGTGCGGAGCATGACGCCCACGGGGCCCGCCTCGCACTGGCCGTCCACGAAGTTGGCATCCGCAGCCTCGAATGCCGAACGAAACTCCTTCAGATCGAGGGCCTTTCCATTGTCCTGCCTAGCGTCCGAGGCTCTCCACCACTCCTGGGCGTACCTCTCCAATCTCATGACGGCGGCCTTGCCCAGCGGGCTGCACGCGGGGACCGCCGCCTCAAATACGTCGCTGCTGATGTGCGGGTGTCCGAGCAGCTTCTTTGCCCGCGCCCGCAATTCTTGAAGCTCGGCGTCCGCGAAGCCCGTGACCTCCCCGCCCCACAGCGCCGATGGCAGGATGGCCGTGTGCCCGATACGCTTGCACCCTGCCACCTGCCTAATAGCTCGCATCGCCATCTTGAGCCCGCCCTTGCCGGCTTAACCCGCAGCCCACGGGCAGGTCTAGCTCGACGACCGACTCCGCGCTGCGGCCCCGCCTGGCGCGCTGCCGCCGCCCGGAACGACAGTCGAAGCCAAGATGCCTCACCCATGCACTGGCGGGCCTGCGCGCTCTTCGCCGTGGGGCACTCGGTGGGGAGCGGCCTCGCAACCCCAAGCTCTTCAGCGCACCTTGGGCCTCAAGCGTGGCCGTTTCCGAGTTGCCCAGAAGGGTGCACTTCGACGAGGCCAGCGCCATGTCCAGGTCCTCCTCCAAGGCGGCCTCGAGGTCCCGAGTCCCATCGGCCACGGCCGACATGACCTCCTCCGCCGAGTCCCCGACGACCTCTTGGCTGTCGTTGATGTGCACCCCCAGGAGGCCCCTGGGTGGGCCTCACGCTGCAGCTGCAGGTCGTCTATGAGGTGGGCCGTGCGACTGTACTTGGCTGCGCAGCACCCGGCCACAATCCCGTTGTCGGGAAAGATCGCAGGCGCCACAATACCGTCCATGACGATGTGCCAGCGCCATCTGAACGCGTTCACCACGGCATGCTGCACGTGTGTTGGGAAGCCCGCGCGGCTGGCCAGCCAGACCAGATTGCCGTGGTTGACCTTTTCGAAGGCCTTGGCGAGGTCCCACAGCAGGACCAAGAGAGGTGGCCCTGCAGCTCTGCCGTCTCGGCCCGCACAGCCGAGCGCCACGCGCAATCCGTGACCTTCCGCCCTTCGCCCGTGTTGAGCAGACGACCAAGGTCTCGAAGTCGGGCTTGCCATTGGCGAAGACGCCCGCGCTGGTACTTGCCCCACAGCCTATCGAAGGCCTTGAACTGGCCGATCGGCCTCCTCCCTCCCCCCAGCGGCTGCGCAGACATCACTTCCTGCTCGGCCGACGGGGCCAAATCCGTGGCAGTGCCCTCAAGCGACCCTTGGCAGTGCAGGCTGAGGAATCCAGCCGTGCCCTCCAGCGACTCCTGCCAGCCCAGTTGCCGAGGGTGCATCCCTCCAGGCGTGCACGTGCTCGCCTTGAACTTGGCCGCCGCTCGGCCCCCGCGACGAAGGGCTCATCCACGCTGCAGTCCTGCGAGACGATTACCGCATTAAGGACACCCCGCGCAACGGGGGGATCGCCTCTGCCGCCCTGCTGGCCTCCAAGCCGTGCCAGCGCCCGGCCCACTCACGGTGGCACTTCGCCGGCACCTGCAGTGGGTCGGCACACCGGTCGTGCACCAACGGCGCCTCGTCCACGCGCTGGGGCTCAGCAGCGGCCCGCTCCCCCACCCGGGCAGCATGGGCGCCCCTCGCTCGAGGTCCTCCTTTAGCGCCTCACGCCACTGGGGTGCGCCACGCCTCAGGCCCATCAGGTACTCCCTGCAGGCCTAGCCAGCGACGCGCTGAAGGATCTCCGTCGCCACCAGGGTGTACCCGTCGTGACTGGGCGCGTCCGCGGCGACCACCTCCACGTCCGCACAGACATCCGAGGCACGTCCCCCCCCTGAGAAAGAGAGAGAGGGGGGTGCGGGGGATGAGGACAAACATGAGGATGAGGAGGGGCTGGGGGTTGGTTGTTGTTTGTTGCTTTGGTTGTTTTTTTGATGGTGCGTGGTGTTGTTTGTACTGTGTTGCGGTTGTTTATTTTGATGGTTTTCTTTCTCTCTCCAACTCTAGGAGGAGGACCAGTATAAATCCAAGAGGCATCAACGATGTTGGAATAAATCCTCCCGCCAAGCTCCCTCTTCATAGGCCCCTACAACGGTTTATTTTTACTGAGGGAACTGCCTCGTTGGAAGACAACTCTTTGAAAACCCTGGAGCATGCCAGAACATTGTTCTCGGGATTCCAACGCCACGGATCAATCTGACTGTTGCGTCTTGACGTTCCCGAATCGTGCCAGAACGCCATTCCTGGGACTTGAACACCGCAAATTTATCATAACTTGTGCAGCCTCATAAGCTTGAATCCTTCCAAGACGCAATTTCTGGTACGTTGGTCATGGGATTCCGTGAAACTCTTGCAAGTTTTTAAAACGAATGTGCGCGACGCTAAGGCGAGAGCCACATTTGGGAAAGGAACCGCCCTCAATCCGTGAAACTTTTGCAGTTGTTTAAGACGAATATGCGCGGCGTTAAGGCGAGAGCCACATTTTGAAAGCGACTCGCCCTCAATCCATGAAGCTCTTGCATTTTTTAAGACGAAATGTGCGCGGCGCTGAGGCGAGAGCCACAATCAAAAACGACCTGCCCTCCATCTGTGAAGCTGTTGCCAATTCTTCAGCTTCAGAGTCGTAAATGGTGAGGAATTCTCAGACGAAATGCCTGGCCCGCCCTAAAAACTGGCCTCGGGGTGCGACAGGGAGAAGTTATTTACAAGGAGAAGGAATTGAGGAGGGGGAGGGGGAGGAGGAGGAGGAGGAGGAGGAGGAGGAGGAGGAGGAGGAGGAAGAGGAGCAGGAGCAGGAGCAGGAGCAGGAGCAGGAGGAGGAGCAGGAGGAGCAGGAGGAGCAGGAGCAGGAGGAGGAGGAGGAGTAGGAGGAGGAGACAGGTGGCGCTCGTGGTGACCCCCCCTCCCGCGCAGAGGCCTCCGCCAGCCGCCCACGCCGCCGCGCGCGCGGCCCGCAGTGCGGTCGGAGGATGCAGCAGCGGGGGCGCGCGGCGCCTTTCCGCAGCCGCGTCACCCGGACAGGGCGGCCTCCCGGTGTTTCTGCCGACCACTGCACTGCCCCTCTGGAACTGTCCGCCTGGCCGTCCACCTGCCTGCCCGTCGGCCTGCCTGCCAGTCGGCCTGCCTGCCTGCCTGCCCGTCCGTCTGTGCGCGCCTCTCTCTCTCTCTCTCTCTCTCTCTCCCCTCTCTATCTCTCTCTTTTCCCTTCTCTCTTTCACACCCCATCCCGCTCTTCCTCTCTCCCGCTCTCCCTCTCTCCCTCCTTCTCTTTCTCTTTCTCCCTTTCTCTGTCTCTCTCTTTTTTTTGTTCTCTCTCTCTCTCTATCTCTCTCTCTCTCTTTCTCCCTCTCCCTCGCTCGCTCGCTCGTTTTTTTGTTGTTTTGGTTTTGTTCTCTCTCTCTCTCTCTCTCACTCTCTCTGTCGCTCGCCCTCTCTCTCTCTCACTCACTCACTCTCTCTCTCTCTTTCGCGCTCTCTCGCTCTCTCCTCCTCTCGCTCTCTCCCTCGCGTCCTCTCTACGCCTACTCGGTATGAGCATTGCTCTCCCCTCTCTCCCCCGAAGGCGTGCCGAGAGCGGCGCGCCCCCATCTCCGCGTACAGGTTTTTACACAGGATTGGTCCGAGCTGTTTTCTCTTACCCATGAGTCGTTGAAAGTAGTTTTTTTTGGATTGCCAGATTCCCATCTACTTTAAGCGCCTTCCTACTTTAATGATCCAGTGGCCTCGCCTTCTCGGTTCCCCCAAGGGGGCGGCCCGCCCTTCCCCCACCACCGCCCTTCCCCTGGTCCTCCTGCTCCTCCTGCACCTTCCGCTCCAGCTCCTGCCGCTGCTGTTCATCCTCGTCCTCCCAGTTCCAGGTCCGCTATGGCACGCGCCGGCGGATCGATACATAATCGGCGCAGTGGGAGAGGATGTGTAGGAGGGGTATGATGTCAGCTATGGCGCGAGCGCGCCTAGCTTGCTCTCTCCCGCTCTTCCTCTGTCCCTCTCCTTTTCTCTCCCTCTCTCTCTACATTTCTGTCTTTCTCTCTTTCCTCTCTCTGTTCTTCCCCGGCTCCTCTCTCTACGTGTACGCATGCACTTGGCAAGTGAGCCTTAGCTTCCTTCTCTCCCTCACACGCTACTCTCATTCCATACATGTGCATGTTATGTCTGTATGTATGAGGTGTGTGTGTGTATATATACATATATGCATGTGGGTAGGTGTACTTGCGTACGGGTGTGCAGATCTATGTCTACATGTGTTTTTCCCTCTCGCACCTATGTCTTGCCTCTAGGTGCGTTGACTTTCTGACCGTCGCCGCACTAGTTGGTTCCTCGGTTCGGTCTATGATCGGGTTTGGCTGGCTATGGCGCGCAGTCGTTTGCTGGTTTGCGCAGTCATTTGTTGGTTTCGAGGTGAGAGCCACTGGGGTCTATCGTGAGGCCTCTTAGGGGCCGTTTGGATGCCTTTTGGGGTCTCTTTTGGGCCAACTTGGGGCCTCTTGGGGGCCTGCTGGCGGTATCGGGGTCCTCCTTGGGGCGGAAGGCTCTAAATCTCAATTCGAGTTTCCCCTCCTGGACCCTTCTGGGGGTCCTCTGAGGGCCCTCTTGGGCTGTCGTGGGCGCTTCTTGGGCTGTCTTGGGGCCCTGTAGGGGCGTATCTGTTTTTTTTGGGGGCCTCTTGGGCCGTCTTGGGGTGATCTGGGCGGCCCCTTGGCCCGCCTTAGACGTTGTGAATGTCGACAAGTCGCATATGCTCAGCATGTATGCTTCGCCAGGGAATGAACGATTTTTGCCGATTGAACTCTGTTGGGGGGGCTCTTTGGGCCTCTTGGGCCTTCTGGAGGCCAGCTGGAGCGTCCTGGACCGATCGCTCGGCGACTCGGGGCCCTCTTGGACAGTTTGAAAGGCCTCTTGAAGCCCCCCTGGCCCGTCTTGAGGTCCTCTTAGGGGCACTCTGGGGCCGTCTGGGGCCCTTCTGGGGCGCTCTGGGATCAGCCCTCCCGCCAGGCCAGAACTCAAGACATTTCCGTTGTATATGTGCATCGGTATTGTGCGCATTCGTACAGGTGTGTGTGTGTGTGTGTGTGTATGTACGCGTATGTCTACGTAATTATATGTACATGTTTATATCTACATCTACTATTTCCATACGTACATGCCTACATACACATATTTGTTTACACACACATATAGATGTATATGTGTGAATGCACGTATGAATGTGTACATGCATGCATGTATGCATGTATGCATTTATGGACGTATGTATGGGCGCAGGTATGTATGCACGCCTGTCTAGTACTATGTATGTCTGTATGTATGCATGCATGGGTGTCCGTATGCATGTATGAATATATAATGAAATGCCACTATTTACATATTTACATGCATGTACATGTGCATGCACGTATGTGCGAACATATGCATTTAAATATACAAGTGTATGCATATGTATGCATGTATGCACGTATGCATGTATGCATGTATGCATGTTTACAGGTATGTATGCATGCATGTGTGTATGTACATGCGTGTGTATGTGTGCGGGTGTATGCATGCATGCATGTATGCACGCATGCACGTATGTATGTACGTGTGCATGCATGCACGATTATACATATGTAGCTATGTATGCATGTGTGTATGCATACACGTATGTATATGTATACGTGTACATATACATATACACACACGTATTCATGTATACATATGTGTATGCATGCATGCACGTGCGTATGTATGTATGTAGGTATACAGGTTGACAGTTATGCATGCGTGTGTGAATGTATACATGTATGCATGTTTGCATACATTTACAGAAGTATGTATATATGTACGTATATGTGTATGTAAGCATTGCGTACAACTATATGCATACATGTCGATATGTATGCATGCCTGTTTGCCTGGTTGACTGTCTGTATGTATGTGCGCATGCATGCATGCATGCATGTAGGTACGCGCATATGTATGTATGCATGTATGTATGTATGTATGTATGTATGTATGTATGTATGTACGTATGTACGTAGATAGGTATGTATGTATGTATGTATGTACGTATGTCTGTCTGTCTGTCTGTCTGTCTGTCTGTATGTATGTATGTATGTATGTATGCCTGTATGTGTGTTTACGCATGTGTGTACGAATGCAGGCATGCATGCATGTATATATGCATGTGTGCATGTTTGCTTGTATTCGTGTATGCATGTATATTGTATGCATGTTGCCATCCATGTGTGTATGTACATCGAAGACGCATGCGGCGAATCACCGCCGCCCCCTGCCTTTGGGAATCGCCCATGTGGCCGAGCGTTGTGGCAAGAGCTCTGCCAAGCTATCGGACCATGTGTTCCCCCAGCCGTTGTGGACACCCTTTGGGGCACACTCGGGGGAATAGCGGGGAAGATCAGGAGTATGAGGAGGATGACGATGATGAGGAGGAGGAGGCAGAGGAGGTGGAGGAGGAGGAGGAGGAGGAGGAGGAGGAGGAGGAGGAGGAGGAGGAGGAGGAGGATGGGGCATCTTGGGAGCCTCTGGGGGTTACTCTCGGGGCCTCCTGTGAGCTTCCTGGGAGCCTCTTGCGGCATCTTGGGGGCCTCCTTGGGCCTCTTGGGGGCCTCTGAGGGCTTCTCGGGGCTTTTTGGCCGTCTTAGGGCGGTCATGGCCCGTCTGACGCCGTCGGACGCCGTCTTTGGAGCCTCTTGGGCCGTCTTGGGGCCCTCTTGGGGCCGTCTTGGGGGCCTCTGGGGCCGTTCTGGGGTCATCTTGGAGGCCTCTTGGGCGATCTTGCGGCGATCTTTGGGGGCTATTGGGCCGTCTCGGGCCGTCGGAAGACCGAAGAGATGCAACCTAAGGAACATCAGTCATTTTTACCTCTTCGGGCCTTCCTGGAGGCCCTCTTGGAGGCCTCTTGGGCCGTCTTGGAGACCTCTTGGGGGCCTCTTGGGCCGTCTTGGGCCATCTTGCAGCCATCTTGGGCCGTCTTGGTGGGCTCTTGGCCCGTCTGACGCCATCGGAAGCCGTCTTGAGGGCCTTTCCGGCCCGACTTGGTCCTCTTGGGGTGCTCCAGGTCGTCTTGGGGGTCAACTTGGGCGTATCGGAGCTCTTGGGCCTCCCTGGAGGCCCTCTTGGAGGCCTCTTGAGCCGTCTTGGAACCTCTTGGGACTCTTGGGCAGTCTTGGACCATCTTCGAGCCATCTTGGGCCGTCTTGGTGGGCTCCTGGCCCGTCTGACGCCGTCGGAAGCCGTCTTGAGGGCCTCTCTGGGCCGACTTGGGGCCCTCTTGGGGTGCTCCAGGGCCGTCTTGGGGGCCAACTTGGGCGTCTTGGAGGCCTCTTGGGCCGTCTTGGGGCCCTCTTGATGTCGTCCGTCTTGGAGGCCTTTTGGGCCGTTCTGGGGCTATCTTGGAGGCCTCTTGGGCGATCTTGGGGCGATCTTTGGGGGCTCCTGGGCTGTCTCGGGCCGTCGGAAGGCCGAACAGAAGCAACTGCCCACATCCTTCAAAACCCTTGGGAGCATCAGCGATTTTCATATACACGTAAATGTACATGTGCATACATATATGTATATATATATATATATTTACATAAATACACATTCATACACACGTGCATCTATACACATATACAACTGCACATACAGATGTATATATATATAGATATACAAATACGCGTATACACATACATATACAAATACATTTCCATATGCATATACATGTGCTTTTACGTATGCATATGTAGATACGTATAAATCTACTTTTACATATAAAGTTACAGACACGTGTACATGTACATCTACATATTCAGACTCATTTGCATCTACACATACATACACGTATACGTATACATATACATGTGCATATACATCTACATATACATACTCACGCATATACATTTACACATGCATATGCATATCAATCTCCATATCCATACCCATATTAATATCCAGATACATTTACATGTGCACAAACACATACATGTCCACATACTCATGCATTCACATACACATTTACATAACCATACAACGATGCATACAATATGCATATACATGTACACATACGTATACACATGCATATGTATATTTTGACTTCTTGACCATCGCCGTACTAATTCGTTCTTCAGTTCGGTCTATGAGCGGGTTGGGACGGCTATGGCGCGCGGTCGTTTGTGAGTTTCGAGGTCAGAGCTAGTGGCGCCTGTCACGAGGACTCTTGGGGCCTCTTGGGAGCCTTTCGGGAGCCTCTTGGGCCTCCGTGGGGCTGCTTTGAGCCTCTTGGGGGCCTGCTGGCGGTCTCGGGGGCCACTGGGGCGGAGGGCTCGAAATCTCAATTCGAGTTCCCCTCCCTGGACCCCTCTGAGGGCCCTCTTGGGTCGTGGGCGCTTCTTGAGCCGTCCTGGGGCCCTCTTGGGGCGTCTCTGGGCCCTCTTGGGAGCCTCTTGGGCCGTCTTGGGGTGATCTGGGAGGCTTCTTGGGCCGTCTTGGACGCCGTGAAGGCCAAAGGGTCGCATATGCTAAAAATAAAGGTTCCACCAGGGAATGGGGCTCTTGGAGGCTCTTGAAGCTCTGTTGGGATGGCTCTTGGAGGCTTCTTCGGGCGTCTTGGAGGCTTCCTGAGTTGTCTGGAGGCCATCTGGAGCGTCTTGGACTGATCGCTCGGCGACGCGGGGCCCTCTTGGCCCGTCTTGGGGCCCTCTTGGGACACCCTGGGCCCGTCTTGGACCCTTCAGGGGCGCTCCGGGCCCAGCCTGACCCGCTGGACCCCGAATCAAGGCATATCCGTTTTTCACGTGTATGGTTATTCGTTGTATCATTGCAACTAACTCTTTCGAGGGGCCACCTTGGGCAACGACCGAACAACCACATGACAACCATCGGACAACCACGGGACATGCACGGGACAACCACCACGGGATAACCACGGGACAACCAAGGGACAACAGCGGGACAACAACGGGACAAGCACAGGACAACCACGGGACAATCGCGGGGCAACGGCGGGACAACCTTGGGCACGTCACGGGACGACCACGGGACATTCGGGAGCACGCCAAGGTTTAGCGCGATTCTATTGGGCTCGACCTGGGCTGACGAAGGGCAAGAACAGCTTCTCCCTCCCGCAGCTTCCCACCGCCCGCACGCACGCCACGAACCGAAGCCGACACAGTTTTTTTCCCGGCAGGACGCCTCTGTTTCAGTTCGGCCTCAACCCCGCAACCGCTCTCTAAGGGTTTTTACCGCTCTCTCTTTTGCTCTGGCTCGTTCTGCTTCGTTTTTGCCCTCCCAGTGCCTCATTCCACCATCGCGCCGGCAGTGGTGGATGAGGAAGGGTGCGGGTGGCAGAAGGGGGTTCATCGGCAGTCTGCGAGGCTCGAAGGCATGTGTGAAGAGGCCCGCCGCGGGGGCAGTTTGTGTCTGTCAAAGCAGTGCGGGTGGGTCGCGGGTGGGTCGCGGGTGTGTCGCGGGCCGGGTTGCGGGCGGGTCGCGAGAGGCTCGGGATGTGGGCGGGTCGCGGGTTGGGTCGCGGAGTGGATCGCGGGTGAGTCTCGGATGGGACAGCGACATTAAAAACAAACGACAAACAACGATAACCTGCACCGAATGACCTCATTTCAGCCACATGGTGTAAAACCGCTCAGGCCTTTCTTTCTCACTCTCTCTTTCCTTCTCTTTCCTACATCGTCTCTTCCCTCTCGGATGAGGAGTGGGAGGAAGAGGCGGGAAGTGAGGAACGAGAAGTGTAGAGTGAGGAGCGGTGCGTAAGGAGGGGGAGGAGGAGGAGGAGGAAACGGCGGAGGAGGAAGACGAGGAGGAGGGTAGGGAGGAGGAGGAGGAGGAAACGGCGGAGGAGGAAGAAGAGGAGGAGGGTAGGGCTGATGAGGATGGAAGGAGGGACGGAAGGAATGAAGGGAGGAGGAGGAGGACGAGGAGGAGGAGGAGGAGGAGGGTGAGTTGGAGGAGGAGCAGGCAGGACTGACGGGTGATGATGAAGGAGAGCGACGAGGAGGATGAGGCTGAGGATGAGGATGAGGATGCGGATGCGGATGAGGATGACGATGATGATGATGATGATGATGATGATGATGATGATGATGATGATGATGATGATGATAATGATGATGTTGATGATTCTAATGATGATGATGACGAGGATGATAATGCTGATGATGCTGATGCTGATGTTGAAGATGATGATGATACTTATGATGATGCTGATGATGCTGATGCTGATTGTGCTCATGATGACTGTAATGGTGATGATGATGGTCATGCTGATGCTGTCGATCTGCTGCTGCTGCTGATGATGATGACCGTGATGATGATGTTGATGCTGATTGTGCTGCTGCTGCTGATGATGCTGATGATGGTGGTGGTGATGCAGATGCTGATGACGATGATGATGCTGCTGCTGCTGATGATGATGCTGATGCTGCTGCTGATGATGATGCTGCTGCTGCTGCTGATGATGATGATGATGATGATGATGGTGAGTATGATGATGATGAGGAGGAGGACGAGGATGATGAGGATGATGATGCTGCTGCTGATGAAGATGCTGAGGAAGATGCTGAGGATGATGCGGATGATGCTGCTGCTGCTGCTGATGATGATGATGATGAAGAAGAAGAAGAAGAAGAAGGAGGAGGGGTAGGAAGAGGAGGATGGGGAGGATGAGGAGGAAGCGGAGGAAAAACATCAGCGGCAGCAGACGAGTTACGAAGGGGGGAGGGCCGACGCCAGCGCTTCGGGGCAGGACGACCTCTGGCAGAGCCAGCTCGCTGAGAACAAGATGCCTGGAGGCGCGCGGAGGAGCTATGGGGTCGAGGAGGCCGACCCGCCGACCCTGCCGCCCACTCTCCTTCTTGCCTCTGCCTCCCTCCTCCTCCTTGTCCTCCTCCTCCTCCTCCTCCTTGTCCTCCTCCTGCTCCTCCTCTTCCTCCTCTCTCCTCCTCTCTCCTCCTCCATTCCTTTTCCTTTCTAAATAACTCCCTGTCGCAAACCGAGACCGATCGAAAGGGCGGGCCAGGCGTTTCGCCTGATTTCCTCACCATTTACAGCCCTGACACTGACAACAGTTTCACGGATTGAGGGCGGGTGGTTTTCAACATGTGGTTCTCGCCTTTGCGCCGCACGCACTCGTTTGAAGCAAGTGCAAGAGTTTCACAGATCGAGGGCTGATCGTTTTCAAAATATGGCTCGTGCTTTGGCGCCGCGCGCACTCGTCTGAACAACTTGCACGAGCTTCACGGATTGAAGGCTGGTCGTTTCCAGAGTGTGACTCTCGCCTTTGCGCTGCGCTCTTTCGACATAACGATTTGCACAAGTCTCGTTGATGGAGGGCGGGTGGTTTTCACAACGTGGCTCTTGCCTTAGCGCCGCGTGCACTCGTTTGAGAACGTTGCACGCGTAGCACGGGTTGAGGGCGGGTGGTTTTGAACATGTGGCCCGCGCCTTCGCGCCGCCCGCACTCGTTTGAGTAAATGGCAAGGGCTTCACGGATTGAGGGCGGGTTGTTTTCAAAATGTGGCTTCCGCCTTGGCGCCGCGCACACTCGTCATACAGATCTGCAAAGCAATTGTGGGTTGAGGCCGGGTGGTTTTCAACATGTGGCTCTCGCCTTAGCGCCGCGCGCAGTCGTCGCAACAAAATGCATGGACTTCAAATATTGAGGGGGATTTTCTTTTGTAACGTGTGGCTCTCGCGTCAGTACCGCGCATATTCGTCTTAAACACTTGCAAGAGTTTCATTGGTGTCCACGGTTAACGTGCCAGAAACGGTGTTCTGGAACGATTCAGGATTGTCAGGGCGCTGCAGTTACGCTGATTCGCGGTGTTGACGTCCCAGGAACGGTGCTCTGGCACGGTTCAGGATCGTCACAACGCACCAGTCAGGTTGATTTCCTGGCGTTGAAGTCCCGAGAATGCCATTCTGGCACGCTTCTGGGTCTTCAAAGGGTGGTCTCCCAACGGGGCACTTCCCTCAAGGATAATGAATCTATGCAGGGACCTACGAAGAGGAAGCTTGGGGGGAGGGTCTATGCTAACATCGTTGGAGAGTCTTGGGTTTGCCCTGGTCGTTGTCGTCCTCCTCCTTCTCCTCCTCTTCGTCGTCGTCCTCCTCCTCACTCCCTGCAAGCAGTACCTCACAAGTACTGTGTTTACTTGTTTCGGGTCCTCTTTGGTGTCCTGGGCCCAGTGCTTCTTGCATCACAAGACCGTTTAGGTTTTGAGTTTCTGACGCCCCGTTTCTGGGACAGAGGGCTGAAGCTGTCGTGCTTCACCCCCCCGATAGTCTTCTCACCGAGAAGCCTTCGAGGCCTGCCTGACCTGGCTTCCTCCCTTCCATCCCCCCTCCCTTCCATCCTCCCTGCTCCCAGGGGTGCCCTGCAGGGCGAGGCCTTCCGCGCTCGCCCCTGGGTCGGACTGCTCTGTTGCTTCTGGCCCGCCCTGGGCCCACCAGCGCATGCGCCTGCAACTTGATGGCCTGCAGTCAACGCGCCTCCCTCCTCCCCTCCCCTCCCCTCCTCTTGCTGCCTCCCTCCCCCCGACTCCTTTTGTGACGAACCAACAACACACACCCATACCCATAGGGGGATCGGAGAGGGCTATGGGTGCGTGTTGTCGGATGGGGGTCCCCGCTCGAACGGGAGCGTTCCCCAGGGTCCGACAACCCGCACCCATACCCATAGCCAGTCCTCCTCCCAACGACCTCCCTATGGGTATGGGTTTGTGTTGTTCGTTCGTCATTTTGCCCCCTCGATCGAGGCGGTGGGCTGGAGGCAGTCAGGCAGGCGCTGCGCAGGGCGGCGCGTTCTTCTTTATCCTGCTTTGGACCTCGTCGCCGCCCCTCCAGGAGAGCCGAGCACGGGCTCCTTGAGGGACCCAGAAAGAGAGAGAGGACGAGAGAGAGAGAGAGAGACATCTTTCTGTCGGTGTATATATATATATATATGTATGTATATGTGTCTATCTATATGTATACGTATACACATGCGTATGCATACATGTACACAGAGAGAGGGGTGAATCAGGAGAGAGAGAGAGAGAGAGTGAGAGACAGGGATACTTATAAAGAAAGAGAGAGATAGAGAAAGAGAGAGATGAATAGAGAGATATCCATATACATATTTGTATGTATATTTATGCACATCATAGAAAGACGCACACACATATTTCTTTATACAGCTAGGAGGAATACAGAGAGACGAAGAGATCGAGAGAGAGAGAGAGAGTTGAACTCATACATATTCGATATGTGTACAGATGTACATGGGCACATAGGTTAATGATATATATATATATATATATATATATCTATGAGAAGAGAGGAGCTCCCGACGCAACGAGATATGCATAGACCCAGCTCCCAGGGCCTCAATGGAGGGTGGCGGTGTGCACAGGTCACCGGCAAGAGCCGAGGGCTTCGCGCGCGGCCGCCCCCCCCGGAAGGCACGGGCGCGACCGCCCGAGCGCGGGCTCAGGCCAGGCCAGGCCAGGCCAGGGAGAGGCAGCCCGAGCGGGGCACACCGTGTGCAACGGCGCTCTGGCTCTGGTGGCCTCGCCAGGGGCCGCCAACGTTCTTCGACGGCTGCTGGTCAGCTTTCACCCTGCGAGTTCGCACTGGCGCTTCGCAGCAGTGCCATCGGCGGTTGTCCCTTCCTGCCGCCAGTCCGCTGAACAGAAAACACGTTTTGTTCTGCGAGTTGCCATCAAAAACGGCTCCGAAGACGAGATCAGGCGACCAGACACCAAAACCAGGCATTGGGCACAGTCTACTAGAGCATACACCTTCCCGTGCTGAAGCCTTCTGGTGGGGATCTCTCGAAACACAGTCATTTGCTTGTTGTGGTTCTGCCTCCCCCCTGGCCCTCAGAAGGGCAGGGCCACCCCGAGGCTCGCCGCGGAGTGTCGCGCCTGCCTCCCCCGGCCCTCTCCCTCTCAGCCGTCGCCCCGCGCCGGCAGTCGGCCGCGCGGCACTCCCCCTGGAGGGGGGACGACGACGACGAGGACGACGACGAGGACGACGAGGACGAGGACGACGACGACGACGACGACGACGACGAGGACGACGAGGAAAACGACGACGAGGACGACGAGGACGACGACGAGGACGACGAGGACGACGAGGACGACGAGGACGACGACGACGACGAGGACGACGACGACGAGGACGAGGACGACGAGGACGAGGACGACGAGGACGACGACGACGATGACGACCACGATGAGAACCCTCATCCGCTCCCCCTCCTGCTTCCTCTTCGGACCAAGGGTGGTCCACACGCACTACGGACGGATGCTGGCGCGTCCCTCCAACGCTCTGCGCTGGCCCTCCAGCCACCGCCGTTGTCCGCAGCAGGCACCAAGCGTTCTTAGGGGGGAAGGGACGCGCTGGCGGGGACCTGCACCCTCTCTCCCCCTCCCCCCCCCTCCTGTTTTCTGCAGCATGGGCGACGGGGCGAGCACTGCAAGGGCCATCTGGGAACTGGGGGTCGTTTCGGCGCCCGAGTCGGCGGGCAGAACATAAGTACGCACAGCTGTCAGGGGATCGTAGGGAGGGGAAGGATGTCAGATGTGGCGCGAGCGTACCAGATTTGCCTCTCTCCACGACTACTCAACGTGAGTGCTTCTTTCTTCTCTTCACGGATTATATCCGAGCGGGACGCCGCTTCCGCACATGGTTTGCAATCGCATATATCTTCAAACGTTACGATTGTGTAAGAGCTCTAGAAAACGTCGTGCGTTCTTGGTTTTTCTGCAAACTGATGCTTCCCATGCCCTCATTCCAGGATCGGTGTTTTTATTCCGTCGATCAGAACGGCGCTCTCGCCTCAGCGCGGGCTGCATCTCCGGATCCTATCCTCTCCTCGTCGTTGTCGCCCCCCTGTCTTGCCCCTCTTCGGCCTTTCCCTGGTCCTCTTCCCGTTTCTCCCACTCCTTCTTCTGCTGCTGCTGCTCCTCATCCTTCCTCGTCTTCTCATTCATTTCCTTTCCATCCTGTTTATCATTATGCTCATCCGCCACTTCGCCCTCCTATGTATAGATCTCCCACTCTGATTGCGCATGACACGATGTGTCACTTTCAAGATTCAGGTTCGCTGCCCAGCCGATAGGATGCACATCGGCTTATCAAGAAGCATCCACGCAATGGGAAGAGATGGGTGGGCCGGGCAGGATGTCAGGTTTGGCGAGTGCGCACCTAGCTTGCCCCCTCCCACTCATCAGTTACTCAACAGGAGTAGTGGTCTCTTCTTCTCTGGATCCTGCCCAAGCAAGGGCGCCGCTGCTCCTGCATGCGGAGTTCTCAGGCGCACGGGATCCCACCATCATGTGTTCAGTGCTTGTCAGGACGGTGCTGCCGCTGCAGCGTTGGCCTCCTGTCAGGATCGACGCTGCGCCCCTCAACGCGGCGCTCTTCACACAGCAGGGCGCGCCAGAAGACCCAGCACGGGCGTGCCCCAAAATCGTCTGTGCCCCGTCATCCCTCTTGCCACGACGCACACCAAGAGTGCGCGCGAAAAGATGGGCCGGCGGCCGGCGCGCACCCGCTCGTGCTTCAGACGCCACGCGCAGCTGTGCCGCTGGCGAGCAGCAGCGCTAAACCGTATCGTTGCCTCCAGGGCCTCCGCAGCGACCCTGGGGACCCGCGGTGCTGTTCCTGCGGGCTCGCGTCGGGCCTGCGTCGTGGGTTCGAGGATTCATGCCCGTGGGCTCGGGGACTCGTGCCCATGCCCGATCGCGTTCACGGGCGCCCTTCCCGACGCGGCCGCCGTCGGTCCATCTCAGGAGGTCCTGTGCCCAAGACGTGTGTTTCGCGGCGTCGAGAAGCTGATGCGCCGTGCCCAGAGTGGTGCCCAGAAAGGTTATTGGAGCTGAGTTGTGCCTAATGTTGGTTCGGCTGCAGGGACCTTCCGCGCCGTTTGCCCGTTTTCAGTCTGGGCTCCTTTTTGGGCACGCGGCCGGCCACTTCCAGCATCCATTCCAGGCACCGTACGCGCGCCGTTTTGGGCGCGCAGGGGTCCACTCCGGGCACGTGTCCAGGCACCCGAACGTTGGACTGTCAGGATCCCGTGTCGGTGCAGCGCTGTGGCGCGTCGTGATGGCGCCGTGTCGTAAGGGCTTCGAAGATGAAGCCCACGGGGCCCTTCGCTATTGGAGGGAGGGCATTGGGCAAACGAGAAAGGGGCGCCAGGAAGGTATCGGGCAAACAAGGGAGGGGGGCACGAGGGTATCGAGCAAACCAGGACGGCAATCGCGAAGCCCACCACGTGTGAGCAGAAACACTTAGCTACTTTGTTCGGCACCGTTTGGGGCACACTTTGGGCACCCTGGGGGGCACCGTGACTGTCTGGGGCCAGCCGTGGTGAGGACGCTCTCGCCCCAGCGCGGGCCACACCTTTGGCTCCGATTCTTTCGTCGTCGTTGTCGCCCCCCTGCCTTGCCCTTCCGTGTTCCCCTGGTCCTCATGCTCCTCTTGCCGCCTCCTGCGCGTCCTGCTTCTGGTGATGCTTCCGCTGCTGCTGCTGCTGCTACTCCTACTTTTTCGTGTTTCTCTTCATCCTGTTCGTCATCGTGCTCATCCGCCATCTCATCTCCCTCGACTGTACAGAGCTCCCCGTTCTGATTGTTCATCACACGATCGGGTCATTCAGGAGGTCCAGGTCCGCTAGGACACCCTGTCGGCGCAATGGGACAGTAGGAAGGGATGGGTGGGCGGGGTAGGATGGCAGATATGGCGCGCGCGCACTTAGCTTGCGTCTGTCATTTTGTGCAGTTAAACATTCGGGCCACTATTTGTTCCCCTCTCTCCCCTGATTCTGTCTGGGGAATGTCCCGCCCTTTCCGCGTACTCCTTTCTACACACAGGGCCGGACAGAGGTTGTGCTCTGTTGTTTTGCGATCCGAAGGTTTTCAGTCTTTCATTATTGTGCTCCCGCTGGAGCGTGGGCCTCATTGTCGTATCGGCGCCTCCTTCCCGTCGTTCAGAAGGGTGCTCTCGCCCCCGCGCGGGCCACATCTCTGGATCCGGTTGTGTCTTCGTCGTTGTCGCCCCCTTGTCCCCTCCTCTACCTTCCCCCGGTCCTCCTGTTCGCCCGCTCTTTCCACTCCAGTCCCCGCTGCTGCTGTTTGTCCTTGTCCTCCTCCTTGTTCCTAATCCTCTTCCTTATCATCCCTCCTGCTCAGCTCCCCTCTTCCGACTTCGCATCGCACGATGTTTTTTCAGGAGTTCCCGGCCCGCTGACACGCGTCCGCGGATGGAGAATCTATCAGCGCAGTGGCAAGGAATGGGTGGGAGGGGAATGATGTCAGATATGGCGCGAGCGCGCCTAGCTTGCTTCAACCGTCTCTCCCGTCTTCCCTCTCCTTTGCCTCTCTCTCCCCTCTGCTACGGCCCCCTGTGAGTACTGCGCCCTTCCCGCAGGCCGCGTCCTCCGCCTCCTTCTCCCTCCTGCATGGTGGCACAGTTCGCTTCAACGGCACCCTCGTTTAGGCCTTTCCGCTAGTGCAGACGTCCCCTGCCTCGCAGCCGACGCAAAATGTGTGTGAGAGAGAGAGGGACAGTGTCTGTTTGCGTGCATGTGGATTCGACCGGAAGAGGTGCGCTCTCGACCCGCGAATCAAAACTGTTTGCGTGCATGTTTTTCCAATCAGATGAGGTTCTCCCGATCAAAACGTCTGCAGACATTCAAAGTTTGACGCCTGCCGCATCCTGCCGTTACGCACACACACGCAAGGGGCATGGCCAGGGGGGCCCCGGCCTTCTACGAAGGCCGTCTGCCCTCGCCCTCGAGAAGGCGGGGGGGGGGAAGCGCGTGGGTTTTGAGAGGCTGGCACCTTATTATATATACGTATTTACGCACATATCTATGATCAGTGTATACGTATATACATGTAATTATATATTTATGGTTCGGTATGTATGTATTCATGTATGCATGTATGCATGTATGCATGCATACATGTATGCATGTATGCACGTATGCATGCATGCATGTATGTATGTATGCACGCATGCACGCACGCATGTATGTATGTATGTATTTATTTATGTATGTATGTATACATATATATATATATGTATGTACGTATGTTTGCATACGTATATGTATGTATGCATGCTTGTATGCATGCACATATGTATATAGATGTTTGCATGTATGCATGCATGCAACCATGTATGTAGCTATGCATGTATGTATGTATGTATATATGTATGCATGTATGCATGTATGCATGTATGCATGTATGCATGTATGCATGTATGCATGTATGCATGTATGTATGTATGTATGTATGTATGCATGTATGTATGTACGCATGTATGTATGTATGTATGTATGCATGCATGTATGTATGTATGTATGCATGCATGTATGTATGTATGTATGTATGTATGTATGCATGTAATGTGTGCACGCATGTATGTATGTATGTATGTATGTATGTATGTATGTATGTAGGTATGTGTGTGTATATGTATGTATGTATGTATGTATGTATGTATGTATGTATGTATGTATGTATGTATGTATGTATGTATGTATGTATGTATGTGTGTGTGTATGTATGTATGTATGTATTCAGTTATATATGTATGTATGTATCTATGCAATGCAATGTAATTTAATGTGATGTAATATAATGTGATGTAATATAATGTAATGTAATGTAATGTAATGTAATGCAATGTAGTGTAATGTAGTGTAATGTAATGTAATGTACATGTAATGTAATGTATTGTATTGTAATGTATTGTACTGTAATGTAATGTAATGGAATGTAATGTAATGTCATGTAATGTAATGTAATGTAATGTAATGTAATGTAATGTAATATAAGGTAATGTATGCATGCATGCATGCATGTATGTATGTATGTACGTCTGTATGTATGTATGTATGACTGTATTTACGTATGTATGCATGTGTATATGCCTTCCTGCGGTGCCAGACGTTCTGGTTATAAAAGCTTGGAAGGGGGACCTAAGGTGCCCAGCCAGAATTGGCGAGGGGTTGGCGCGGGATCGGCGCGGGGTTGGCGCGGATGCGTGTGGAACGCGGTTTTCGTTTGTGGTTTTCGCGCTCTGCTTTTCTGAGACGCCTCTTTCGCCGGGTGCGTCCCCGCGCTCGCTTGGGTTTTGCAGGTCGGACCGCAGCAGGGCGCCAAAAAGGTAACAACTTCTCGAGCCACGCGCAGAACTTCTTGCATGACGTTTCCTGGTCGGAAGTTTCATCCAAAGGACATCCTGTCCTGGGTCGGCTGCTCGCTTTCCCGCTGCGCATGTTCACCCGTGCCCCCCGTGAGCGGTGCCCCTGCCACCCGCCCCGGCCCTCGGCTGGGAGCGGCTTGCCTGTCCCGCATGGGGCGGTTTCTTCTTCTCGAGGAGAAGAACACTTCACAAACAGAAGCTGTTAGTGATGGGCGTATCGGCGCTGGCCCCCTGGCGGCGCCTCTGGAGCCGCGCGCCAGGGAGGGGGGCCCATCGTCGATTCAAGCAGTCGGCGCGGTGCTCCGAAAGTTTGTGTTTATTCGTAGCTGTTTTTCATCCATCCTCTTCGCTTCCACGTGGCGCCGTGGAGAAGGGCGTGGGGCGAAAGGGGTGGGGTGGCCTTCAGAGAAGGCAGGGTGCTTCTTGGAAGCAAGCCCTGGCTTCTAAGAGGCACTGCTGGAAGCTGGGAGGGCCTCCAAGAACCCCCCCGCCTTCTTAGAATGCCCCCCCCTTCGCCCCCCCTTTTTTTGCGCGCCGCCAGCCCACCCTATCCCGGCCTCCTCTTATGATTGCTCCTTTCCTCCCCCTCCAGCTTCTCGTGCAGAGTACCCGCGGCTGCTCCTCTTTGCTTCTCTTGCTTCTCTTTGTTGCGCCTCCTCTCCTCCTCCCCGTATGCATGGCTCGGCCCGCGATTGGACCTATGACGTGGTTGTAGATGGCTGTGCCTGCGCGCTGCGGTGGAGAGCAGAACTTTCCTCACCCTCCGGCTGTTCGACTGTGCGTGCGACCTTTCCGCCCAGACGTCGGTCGGCCTTCCCGCGCGCTTCCCGGTCCCGTGTGCCCCCACGCTGGCCAAGCAGTGTGGGTGCCGTCTGGGCCTTCTGGTTCGATCGCGGAGCCCGCCCGGCGAGTGCAAATGGACAGGCGCAGTGGAACGGGAGTTGCAGGCGGGGTGCGATGTCAGACGTGGTGGGAACGCGCCCAGACTGTCTCTCCCCATTCTCTCTCTTCTTCATCTCTGCATCGCGCTCGTCTGGGTCAGCATCTTCAGTGCCCTCCGCCGCAAGTGTGCGCAGGCGTACCCCTCGTGGTCGTTCGGGCACATGGTCGGCCTGGTGGGCCAGGCGCCGCGGACGCTGCGGAGGCAGGACAGAGTGTGGAGCATGAACGGGGAGTCGGCGGAAAAGCTAAGGGAGATGGGATAGTGGAGGCAGCCGCTTGTGAGCGCAGTGCTCGTCTTTCTTACCCGATGTCAAGGGGCATTCATCATGTCGCTCTTGTTGGGGCGTGCCCGCGAATTCGTGCACCGAGAGAGCAGTTGCGGATTGTGGGCGGAGGGAGTGTCCGCGGAGGGAATCTGGTGGCAAAGATCGATTGATGGGCAGGGGAAGGGAGGGGGACCGTGTAAGGGAGGGTACGGGGCGGGGAATGGGGTCAACGGGGGGGGGGGAGCGCTGGCTTGGAGGGAGAGAGGGGCGAATAATGAGGACGTGACCTTTCTCTGCCGTCCCGTTCCGTCCCCCTCCCTTCGCCCTTCCCTCCACTCTCCTCCCCCCTCCTCCAGGGAAGGGGGGCGAGGATGACGAGCAGGAGAAGGAGGAGGAGGAGGAGGAGCAGGAGGAGGAGGAGGAGGAGGAGGAGGAAGAGGACGAGGAGGAGGATGAGGAAGCGGAGGAGGAGGAAGAGTAGGAGGAGGAGGAGGAGGAGGAAGAGGAGAAGGAGGAGTAGGTGGAGGAGGAGGATGAGGAGGGACCATAATAAAGCTTCGATCCATCAGCGACAATGCAATACAACTACCCGTCCCAAGTCCCATCAACAGTCCCCGTACATATTCCTCGTCAGTGCGGGAAATGCCGTTTTTCAGAACGAGCGCCACATGTACCTGCCATTCAGGTGACCTCCTTGTTTTGAACAGGAAGTGTCATCCATTTTTTTGGGGGGTAAGGAATGCGAATTGGCAGGACCGTCTGTGTTCCAGCGTAGATCCCACACGTTGGGTTCTTGCATTCACGATGTGGAATCGTTGTTGTGCAATCTGCGTATTGTTGGATTGTGTTGCAACGTGTGTGTGTGTGTGAGCTTATAGATATAGGTGTGTTTGCACACAAAAGTTTACAGGCGCAATGCTGTTTGTGCACTCAGCGTCTGGTGCAGCTTATCAATTATCGCCTTTTTGGGTGCAACGCATGCGATGCACGCGTTTGCAGGCATCCCACCCATCCGCCCGCCCACCCGCAGCTCGTCGGCAAAGCTCACCAGGTTCTGTCCTCAGCGAGCCCAGCCCGATGCAGTCTCCCTGCGCCCCGGCCCGCCCCGCGCCCCGCCCCGCCCCCCCCGCGCCAGGGCGCTGGCGCCCCCGCGGCCGCGGCTCCACCCGCGGAGGCCGCGGCGAGCGGCAGCCGGGCGCGCTGCGACAAGTGCGACGGGGCGCCCCCTCCCCGCCGCCCCCGCGCATGCACTCTGCCGCTCGGCGTCGGGAGGCGCCGACCATGCGCTCGCCATTTCATACCGCGGGTCCTGAGGGAAACGGGTCCTCAGGTCTTTCGCCATGCTTGGCCTCGCGGGGCCCTCCACGGGCCCCGGGACTGTCAGAGGACGACTCATGAGGAAGGGGTGGTCCTGGGGGGAGGCCTCTGGGGTCCGGGATCAGTTTCCCACCGGACCCGCTCCTTTCATGCTGACTGCGCCGACGCTGGCCCCGGGCCAGGCAGGCCTTGCGCCACGGGTCGGTGCGCGTGCCTTCCTGGCCCGGGCCGAGCGGCTGTGTGTCGGCCACTCGCAGAGGGAGGTAGGGGGGAGGGGGGAAGGCTTCTCAGAAAGAGGCTGCTTCTCAGAAGGCTCGGGCATTATCTACAGATGTAAGGCTTGCACCTTCTAAGAAGCAGCCTTCTTCTAAGAAGCCTTCCTCCATCCACAGTATATGTATGTATATATATATATATATATATATATATATATGTGTATGACTGCGTATTTGATTATCTTTATATGTATATGCGTGCATGTGTGTATGCATGTGTGTATGTGTGCATGAAGTTACGTATGACTATGTGCATATCTGTACGTTTGTGCGTGGATGTATGTGCCTGTATGTATTTACATATGTACAAATGTATGCGTGCATGCATGCATTTATGCATGTTTGTTTGTATATATGCATGTACGGATTTATAGTGGCGTATATATATACACATGTAGGTCGATAGGTCGGTATGCATGTATGCATGCGTGGTTGTTTGTATATTTCTGTATGTACGTATGCATATATGTATGCACATATGTATAGTTGTATAGTTGTCGATGTGCATGTATGCATGTATGCCTATATATATGTATGTGTGCATGTATGCCTATGTATGTAATGTATGTATGTATGTATGTATGTATGTATGCATGCATGCATGCATGCATGCATGCATGCATGCATGCATGCATGTATGTATGTATGTATGTATGTATGTATGTATGTATGTATATACGTGTGTGTGTATGTATGCATGTATGTATGTATGTATGCCTGCATGCATGCATGCATGTATGTATATATGTATGTACGTACGTATGCATGTATGTATGTATGTATTCATGCATGCATGCATGCATGCATGCATGCATGCATGCACGCACGTATGTATGTATGTATGTATGTATGTATGTATGCAGTTATGTGTGTGTATGTATGTATATATATGTATGTATGCATGTATGTATGTATGTATTGTATGTCTGTATGTGTGTATGTGTGTACGTGTGTATGTCTGTATGTATGTATGTATGCATGTATGTATGTATGTCTGCATGCATGTATGTATGTACATACGCATGCGTGCATGCATGCATACATGCATGCATGCATGCATGCATGCATGTATGTATGTATGTATGTGTATGTATGTATGTAGGTATGTGTGTACGTGTGTACGTGTGTTCGTGAGTATGTGTGTATGCATGTGTGTGTGTATGTATGTATATATGTATGTATATATGGATGTGTGGATGTATGGATGGATGAATGGATGTATGGATGGATGTATGTAGGTATGTATGTGTGTGTATGTAGACATGTAATACATATACATTTGGATATGCATACTACTCTTTCTCCCCTAAACTGTGCGGAAGATCTCGCGTCACCTCAACGTGCTGTTTTTTTACACTGGGCTTTCCAAGTTTTGCATGTATGGTTTGTTATGCAATACGCTTGTTTTCGTTGTTCCAAAATGGTGTTTCCGCTGCAACGAAGATCTCATTTTCGGATTGGCGTTTTGCTCCCGTCGTTCAGAATGGCTGTCTCGCCTCAGCGCGGGCCACTTTTCGGGATCCGAGTCTTGCGTCATTGTGGTTCCCCCTCATTTCCCCTCCGCCTTCCCCTGGTTCTCTTGTTCCTCTCGCTCCTTCCATTCCAGTTCCTGCTGCTGCTGCTGCGTCTGCTGCTGTTCGTCTCGCCCCAGCGCGGACCACTTTCCGAATCCGAGTCTTTCGTCATCCAAGAGTCGCCCCCCTCATTTCCCCTACTCTACCTTCCACTGCTCCTTCTTTTTTTCCCGATCCTTCCGCTCTAGTTCCTGCTGCGGCTGTTCGTCCCTATTTTTTTCCTCCCGCCCATCCTCCTGCTCACCAGTCACCTCCTCCTCCCGTGCACGCAGCTCCCCCTTTTCCGATTGCGCATAACACGAACTGGCCTCTCTGCGGCAGTTGCAGGTCGGTGATGACACGCGCCCGCGGACAGAGAAAACCAGCGGCCTGGGAAGGGATGGGATGGGAGGGACAGGATGTCAGATGAGGCGCGGGCGCACCTGGCTTGCCCTAGATCTCGCTTCTCACCTTTTCCCTGATGCGCCCCCGCCTCCCCGCAGGGCTTGGTCGTGGGAAGGTGGCAGGACAGTTTTGTACGTCGACAGACATCGTCTCTCACAGCCGCTAGCAGCAGCAGCGGCTTGCCCTGGGCCCCTCCTCTGCGTGTGGCCGGGTGCGAGCCATCCCTGGGCCGCCGCGCAGCGCGGGCGACCCCGCCGGTCTGTGCGAGCAGCCTTCGGGGGACCTCTCTCGCAGAGCTCTGCAGAGGCGTCCCGAGGGGCCTGCCGCGGCCCTCGGCGCCCCGCTGGGGCACCTCCCGGGCGGCGACTCCCCGCGCCCGTGCGGCGTCTGGCGTGCCTCGGGCGGCGTGCTGCGGTGCAGTGTGCAGGGGAGGCCTGGGCGCGTGGCGTGCGCCGCGCCTTTGGCGCCGCCGCGCCCCCTTCGGGCATGGCCTCGCCCGAGCTCGGCCGGCCAGCGCGGGGCTGCCACGGGGCCCTGGCCAGTGCTGCCAGGGGGGCGGCTTCAGGGAGCTGGGCGCACATGGCGCTGCTGGCCTGGGCCGGGGCTGGATTCAGGGGCGGCCGCACGTCGTTCCAGCGCTCGTCCCTCCTGTGTCCGGGCAGGCTGGCCTCCCGTGCGTGTGTCCAGCGCGTGGCCTCTTCATGTCCCTCGTGTGGACCCAGCCGTGTGTGTGTTTCGAGCTTCCTGGTGGTGGCAGGTGAATCGGCAGGACTGGGCTTGGCGCATACGTGCCGCTCGCTGCAAGCACAGTGGCGGATATCCAACGGGGTGGGGTTGCGCGCGACAGGTTCCCGAATCACCTAAGGCGCTCCACAGGCTTGGGGAGCGGCTGGCAACGTTCTCCTGGTCTGCCTGGGTGGAGGAACGGCGAGGACAAGGAGGAAAAGGAGGAGGAGGAGGAGGAGGAGGAGGAGGAGGAGGAGAAGGGGGAGGAGGAGGAGGAAGAGGAGGAGGAGGAGGAGGAGGAGCAGGAGGAGGAAGAGGAGGTCGCTGGGAATCTCCAGAGGTCTTCGGAGCTTCCTGCCAGCCTTTCGGAGGCTTTTGACGTGCTGAAAGATATTTCTCCTAGATCCTCGAGGAGGGGGGCAGAGAAGAAGGAGGGAAACCAGAGTAAACGCAGGATGCGCTAACAATACTGCAGCGCACCCTCCCGTTCCAAATCCCTTTTCAAAAGCTCCTACAACTTTTCCTTTCACTACAGGAAACGACTCCCGTACAGAAAATCATGGTCAGTGGTATCCGTCAACATGGCTAGTCGGATTTTCCGTTTGCGCATTTGTTCGAAGGGGGGCGTATGTGTGTATGTATCTCTGTCTTGTGTGTGTGTTGATGTTTTCTCTTAGACGTGTACGCATTTAGCATGTGCTAATCAGCGTGTAACCCGAGCAGTGATTTCTTGCTATGCGGTGTAATCTGGGTGGTGCAGTCAATCTGGTGCAGGTTAGGTTGTGCAATCCATATGATGCAGTCGATGACGGTGTATTGTGATTTTACAAAGGAGTTGACACATTCCATTCTCTTGTAAGCATCCCACCCACTCACACGCAACTTGGTTCGCAAATCCCATGCGGCGGCGATTGCGATGAGTGCCTGGCGTTGGCTGGTGCATCCCTGCGGCCGCGCTGGCCCGCGCATGCTCGCGCGCACAGCGGTCAGCTAGTTCGGCGCGACCGACGCGGAAACTGTGGCGCTGACCGCTAGGCACTCCCCAGCGGGCACTTCAGTGCGAGACGGTGACTTGGACGGGTGCGGTATCATGGCGACGCCGACAACGGTAGGCACGATTTATGAGAGTAGCGACGACGGTGGCGATAGTGGCGATGACAGCGGCAAGGCCAACGACGGCGCCGATGTTGATCACGCCCGCCGATAACGATAACGATGTCCTCGCGTCGGCGATGAAGGTTTTTGACTGAGTTCGACATGTGCGCGCGGCCGACGCGCGCGAGTGGCCCGCGTGGTATTGTATGACGCGGATCGTGCCCCCCCCAGCACGCGCACAAGGGCGTTCGAATGAATTCGACATGCGGCGCGAGAGGCCCGTTTAGCAGAATTTGGTGAACGCGTTGAAGTTGGAGAACCGATGGTTTCTTAAGAGCCCGCAGAATCGCGAGCACAGGCTTCATTGAAAACCGATGTTGCAAAACTGTGTTTTTTTCTAAAACATGTTTTTGGGGACACTCCCGCTTGGTAACATTTGATGAACATATTGAACAACCGATGGTTTCCTTTGGAAATTGCAAGAACGCCGGCGTATTTTTGTTTTTGTTATTGCAAACCCTTGTTGCGAAACCATGTGTTGTTATATATTTTCGGACGCTCGATGTTGAAGTCCCTGCGAACCTAAGGTTTGAGCGATCTCGGCATGCGCGCGCGACTACGCGCGAGTGTGCGCTTCTTCCCATTTGTTGCCAGGGATTCCTGAACTTGTATGAATTTGGATCAACGAGTGTGCACCCATAGTTTTTTCCAGAGGCTGAGAGGGGGGGGGCGATACCAGCCTGCCTGGGATGGTATGAAGTCGTGTCAAGGATAGACGATGGGGCAGTAACATATGTAAACTGCAATACGGGAAAGGTGTACCGTTAACCCGGGGGGGGATAACCTAA